AGGATGCATGTGTGTATCTCAGCTACTTCTGGGATGGAGTACTGAAATACAGCCAATCCTAACTACTAAGACCAGGAATGAAAAAGAGTAAAACTAGGCAGTTAGTGAAAGACTAGCATTATTCAAATCATTACTTACTCTCAACCCTGCTCATTCCAGTGTTGCGTGGGAATAATTGTGAAATGGTAGGGCTGTTACTAGGAGGCTGAAAGACAGACATTTCCAGCAACACCAAGCCCTGGAGCAATAGCTAAGTATTAGCTAATACATGAGAAAGCCCTGTAATGGCATTTGCTCAATGAAAAAATACATCAAAAGGAGGAAATGGCAGATGAAAATAACCTCTGTTATCTCCAAGCCTTCTGTGGAAAGTCCCTACCTATGAGCAGTATTCATGCAGAAAAGCCAGTGTTCATATCCCTCTGTTTACTTTAACCTCGTGGGCACTGATTAACATTTCATGCCTTTGCCAGGTATCACCCAACCATTTCCTAAAACATTAATCCATCCGCAAGCGAAGGGAAAGCAGTGAGGCTGCAGGAAGTAGGCCAGGGTTTTCACAGGCATGTTGTTCTGCTGCTGGTGCCAGCCCCAGGAGAGGTCAGCGTGCGCACAGGCCTGTGCGCATGCACATGCAGCTGCCTTGTGGGGGTACACTGCAGCATTGACATCCCACACGGGCACGCGGCCAGCGTGGCAGCACAGCATCAACCAGCTCCTTCTTTTTCTAATTAACATTTGTCAAACTTGGAGAGAAGCCCAGGATGCAAAATTTGGATGCAAAATTCAAAGAGCACAGAAGCTGGAAATGTTCACAGACAGGCTCTTCATTTATGCTTAGTTTTTTTTATAGGTCATGTACAGATGACTTACTTGCTCTTACTGTAACTTACAATTGGCAATACTAATCATTTTTTTGTATGTCACAGTGAACAGTAGAGCTGTACTTCAAAAAAGTGGCAAAGTTTAAAGTAGGTGGACATAACGGTTTTCCCTTTCAAGAAAAATTTTTCCCTGAAGTTCCCCCTTTGGGTGGGTGAAGAGGGGAAGGCCTTTAACGCCATCAGCAGACAGGAGTGAGAATATTTTGACCAGATCTGGGAGTGGTTTATAACAGTGGTTTCTCAAACTCATGTGAACTCATCCAGCTTCCTGCACAGCACTCAGCAATGCAAGTTTAAATGATTAACCTGACTCAGTGCTGAAACAATGAATTTTCAGAATATGCTTGAAAGCCACTTTTAAACTCTTGTGATTTCAGTGTTAAGTCACCAACTCTAGAAGGTTCTCTGTGAGAGAAATGGATGAAAAGGTAAAAAAATAGCCCTTTGTGCTTTTTATCAGCACAGCAATTCATGCTATCTGCTGACATAAGAAGAGAACGGGGAGTGGGGTATCATATTTATTAAAGTAAAAAGGTAATGCATGTAATCACTCTCAGGTATCTAAATGGTCTATAAACAGCACCGCTAATAGAGTACCTAGCACTAAGACTATTTCTAATTCCCAGCAGGGCACTTACATCCTAGCCTAGACAAAAGACAGGGAAATAAGACATTGGGTCATGTTATGAGGTTCAGAGGTATTTCAGAGCTGAAGAAACTCTAAAAAGAAATATGCTGCAAGAGTTCCTTTCCTGGAACTTTAAGGAGTACATGCAAGAGAGTGAGCTGGCTACTGATGAGCATTCCTCCACAAAATGTTTCCAAAACCCAAGTGGTCATCTCATACCAGGGCCACATACGAGACAGAACTATTGCAGTCTTCATGACAAGGACAAAACCCATGGCTTCTCTAAACAGAGTGAGCAAATGAAGCTCCTTCATTCTCTCTCTGCACGATTTCTGGGTCTGTCTACAGCCAGCTTCTACTCGGCTTCTAGGTAAAATCTGAAAATGCCTCCATACTGATGTTCCAGAGAACTGAAAATTTTAAGAGACTTTGGAAGAGGACAGCCGTACACAAAAGTTAACTCTTGTGAATAGTCAGTCCTTTCCTAAATCCTCTCCAGTTGAAGAGAGACTCTTTTTATAGAACAGCTTTATGTGCATCCCACTAACTTGGGGACATCTTTGTTTTATTGGCCTTCCGTTCTGACACTGCATTAGATAATGAGCAGTGCAGGATGTAATGTGAACCAAGTGATTTAATTTTAATGTGGCTTCTGCTGCCTGCACTGATTCAGCCATGGACTAATTACTCAGATCTTTGCTTCTCTAGAAGGGCCTTTCAGGCTGCTTGTGACAGGCCTCACTGCTCTCCTCTGCTTTTAAGGAAGATGGTGTGGCCACTTGCCGGATCAGTAAGGCTGCTTTCAAAGCAGGGTAAAGTGCTTTTACTGTCTCAAGGGGCAAATGCCACTCTTTGCCAGATGACAATTAAAGGCCATGTATCACTAATACCAGTGATAGCAACAGAAATGTTCGATTTAAATGGCAGCAGTTTCAGACAGTACGTTAAAAATAATGTAGATCAATTCCAGATAATTAGCTTGCTATTTTAGAATTATTTTGGCACAAAAGCTTTTCTTTTGGAGATTTTTGTCACACTAGAGGGTTTTTTTCCATGCTTGTCTTAACAGATTCACTTCTAATAGAATAAGAGGCTCAGTTCATAAGGGAAGGTTTTAGTTAATTATGTTTGCTGTATTAGCACGAAGGAGGAGTTTTTTTGAGGGAAGTGTTTACATAAACAACATTTCTACAACACAGCATTGCAATCCAAAAGCAGTGAGCTGCTTTGCAGGCAATGCAGAAAGGAGTTGCTTCATCTTAAGTTGAAGTAAAGCCACTGTTAAAGTAAATATGCAGTAGCAACAGCACGTAACAAAGGGAACATGAATAATAACTTTTCTAATTTCAGCTGAACGTGGGAGGATATAGGTAGGCAGCAAAAGGAGCTGGAAACCAATTTCCAGTGTGATTCATAGAGATTTTCAGCAATGGCTTGCACAGGTAAATTGTAATAGTCGACATTTACAGATATCTTTTTGCTTATTTAAATCCAATAGGTTTAGGGCTTTTTCTTTTTTGCCAAATGAAATACTGAAGCACAACAAACTTATACTGGCTCATAGTACTGACTGTGTCAAGTATCTTGACTTTCAGACTCAGAACTGTTTCACTGATTCTGCAAAATACTGCTCACATTTAAGTGAGAGAAATTATTTGTCAGATGAAATTAATAGACTGCAGAAGTTCAGCAAGGATTTTAATGCCACTGGAATTGTACTAATATCGTTTATGGCTCATGAACAACCAGAACCAAAAGGATGTACTAGTACATTAATAAGGTTATTTCTTTGCTCCATACTCCTTCATTACCACTAACATCTAGAATCGCTCTCTACCTACACATTTACTAAGACAAAGCAAGCTCCCTGTTGCCATTACATTCCCAACCCCTTCCTCCTACATTTTTCGTCTTGTTCTGTATTACTCAACTAGATTTGGCAACATTTTTCCTTCACAGAAATCAAAGGTGGGTGTTCTGACACAGGAACAGAAAACAAGAATAATCCAAATCTGGTCCACAGAGCTCTTCTAAATACTATAAATGAAAGCAGCACTTGACCCAATACTAATATAAAGTGATTCTGAAAAAGTGATGGCACATGGAAAAAATTAAGAAAGCCAGGAGTAATTTCCAAACAATACTATTCACCTTCTTTGGTCTTATATAGATTTTGATATTGATGCTGATGTTAGAGGAGTCTTGCAGCTGATATCAGTTTTGACCTAGCCTGTTAGAAAGGGTAATGCTGTATTATTTCAATAGCATTAATTAAATACTTTCTCTAAATGTATGTAAGTGGCAATGACAGACATTTTACCTTCAAGTCCTTTGCAAGCAATTTCCTTTCAGCACTGCAGAGTATCAAGACTAAAGGTTGTCAGCATCATTCTACAGACATTCATGCTACATAACATTCTCCAAAGAAATAGAGACATCTTCACTAACAAGAATGTATTAGTTTATTTGGAAGAGATATGCAGTAAATCTTTACAGCACAAAACTAAACATGGCTCCCTCTTGAGTCTAAAGTGTGCACATTACTTCTTAAAAAAGTACATCTTTTAACAAGCGTCTTGTTCAAAAGGAACAGGAAAAAAGAACATCCTTCTACCGCAACATAAACAAAACCTCTGAACTCACAAAAAAGCAAATGGTAGAAAACTGCATTTTGGGCAAATCAAGTCAGGTTCAAACAATTTTAATAGGCAGCTACTGTGGTTTCTGGAATCACTGTTGCATGCATATCTCTAGTCATATTGGATTTCTCTTTCAGCTTTGACTGGAGCAATGTGTGTTCCATCACACCAATCTGTATGTCCATCTGAATGGTTTCTTGCCTCAATTTTGTTAAGGCCTGTTTAATCTTCACTAGAGGAGCTGTCCAAAAAAAGATAAACAGTACAACTCTGTCAGCCACGTAACACAAAAGCATTGTTTGCTGTAATTTACTCCTTAAAATGGAAGAGTTGAATGAACAACTCTTTGTTGTTGTACTCTAAAGACATGATTGTACTGATACATCATTTTTAATATGCAGAACACTTTAAAGACAGAAATAGGCAATAACAATTTTGCTGTCTTCTTGACATCTAAGAGCTTCATAAAAATGTGCATCAACATTAAGACAGGTTTTTCAATGATGTGTTTTGCTCAGCTGAAAGCCTTATCCCCACAGCTGACTTGAGGTTTGGTAGAGAACTGAAGACATCTTCATCAGGCTTTGAAAATCTTACTTGTGAAAAGCTATTAAAATGTTTTGTGCCTTATATTTTCTAACCCCTCTCTTGCCATGAGTATGATGCTGCTGCATCATCCTGCTCCTGGTAATTGCTCTTATTCTTATTTTAATGAAGTACATATCACGAAATTGTCACCAAGGGTGTGTTGTCTGAAGCAAAAATGTACTTACCACCATCAGTCATACTGCTTCCTTTCTCTTCTGTTTCCTGCTTTACTTTCTCTAATGCTTCTGTAATCTTAAGAGATTTTTTCCTTAATTAAACCAGATTAATATCGAATTTTAAAAAAGTCTCTGCTGAATAACTGCTTTTATTAAAAAAAAATTAACTAATCCATTTTACTTGTTATATAAAGAGGAATGATTTTTCAAACATTCAGAAATTTTTAATTTAACTAAATTAATGTTGTAAAAAATTACAGAAAAAGGGTAACAATTTGACCAAACACCATGGTGTTACTGAAAATCTGTGCATCCCCAATAAAAAACAACAATATAAGTGTTTCAGTGTGATGCTGGATGGAAGAACAAAGGAACCAGTATCTCTACAGATCAAGATTCATCAAATGACCATGCCCACTGTCCTTCTGGAAGCATCAGGTTTGCGGCATGTTAGACTGGAAACCTAAGAAACAGCACTGCAGCGTAAGAAGGTGCAGCAGTCCAGCTTGCTGGCACTGGCACAGGTATGTAAAATCCACATTTGAAGAAAAAAAGTGCATTTCAGCACTGTCCAGGAATTAGTTTGCCTTTGCAGACAATGAAAAAAAGCAAATATATGATTCCAAAGTATAGCCAAGATAATAATTCAGTATTCTTGCTGATAATGTGAAAATATTCCTTCATTAAGGCTTTAATAAGCCTTTTCAGCAACAAAAAGGAATCACTGCTGCATTGTTACTGCATGCATGCAGTGGTAATGGTATTGCCAGGTGGGCTGAGGTCTTGATTGCACACCTGAAAACAGATCAGTACTAATAGCTAACGTGTCTGGTTTACCTCAGACATGCGCCACTGCACCAATGTAGTTTTGAAGGATGCCAGCTAGTAACATATTCACCATTACTTATCAGTCAATCAGCTCCCAAAGTGCACACTGTAAATCTGAAGTCATCACAAAATACTTTTTCAAACTTACTTCCTTGAGAGTGAAATAGAAAGCAGCTCTAATTCTGCAGAATTCATACACTCAGAAATCTTTGCTAGAAAACTCACATTAAACTGCTGTATTACCCACTGCAGCTGCACTTAGTATCACTGTAGGTCCCTTCCAACTCAACTGTTCTGTCTGTTCTAAAACATCTCAAACTTGTTGTACAATTTCTAACACATTCTTGCTGTATGATCTACTTTATGCAACTGCTCTTGAGACTTCATTGTCTAATAAGTAAAGCTGGTTTCTAAAACCCAAACAGAGCCATTTAAAAACTTTGTGAATTGGATAAAGAGTTGAAGTATTTGGATATCGGGCGGTAATTCTAAACAAAATGCCATGCAACACTGAACATGGTGAGGCAGTTAGGAAACAGATGTTTATTTAAATTTGTCAGAGCACCAATGTAAAGGAAAAAAGAAAATCCACAACAAAAAAAACCAGATTTAGGTAATAAGATAATTTGATGTATGAAAAAAATTACTATTGCTTTAAGTCAAATATTGCTTTTAAGTGCCTGGAAGATAAAAATTTCAAACTGTTAATTTTAACTAAAAATAAGAGTTAAGCTTTTCTTCTTCCAAAGAATTTATGGGCATGATTTATCAATCCCCCATAATTCTAGGACACAGGTTATAAAATACAGAACATATACCTTCATTTACAAACTGAGGTCACATTTCAGGAGTTAAAAATCAATGCCAGACTGGATTTAAAACTTAGGGACTGGACTAGATCACCTCCCCCAAACAAAGAATAATCTTTAACATGAGAACAAATCACAGAACTGGTTTCATTAAACTGCAACCACTAAATGCCAACTTTCTGAAGACTGTTTTAAAGTAAGATGTGTTTTACCTCAGAAAGCACTCTAATCCTTTCAGTTACTCCTCCACTTCCCTCCTGGTACTTCTCTTTAGCCTGGAAAAAATCATGTCTTGGCTGTAATGACAGAGCTGAAGAGCTGCAGATAGTTCAGAGAAAACTTCAATACTTGCTCTCATATGTTTCAATTCCAGAAACTCTCCCACAAAGCCCCAGTGAGGTTTACAAATGAGGACAGGCTTGAAACATCAGCCCTCGCAATGACTATCATTCAAAAATGTGAAGCAGTAAATAGTCCAAATACACGCTTGATAAGAACTATGCTTTCTAATCATTTACATAAGGAAATAAACATGAAGAAAATCTGCCATAATGCAGAAAGGATTGAACACTGAAATCCAGAATAATACTTCATCAACAGTAAATTGCTATCTCGAAGATACCTTAACAACAAGGCAAACAGAAGGTGCAGAGGTCAAATTCTGTTAGCATTACTGTCAGCATGGCCACAACCAGGAGGGCTTACCAAAAGGCAGACTATAACGCTTCCTAAATAGGGGATCAAAAAGCTTCTCAGACAGCACTCCATTAACATAAAAACTAAATGAAGCAAAGAAGTAATCAGAGTGCTTTGTGTGTGTTAGCACCAGTACTCAAATCTAAGGGATGAATGTTGGACTGAGACTGTAGTTATTCCACTCCTGGCAGATGTGTGAACTTCACAGGGAAAGCAGAACTAGCAATTTACTAGCTGCTTAAGACTGGCAACAACTATACATAATATTCAGGCAAAACCATGTATTTTCCCCTGCAGAACAGCTGAATAAAAATTGCTAGTTTAGCTTAGGAAGAATATAATTTGACAGCCAATCAGCATTTCCCCTGCTTTATATCCAACAGCAGAATTCATAGATAGCTCACTCCATGTCATCTTTGCCTCTACCCTCACTTAACAGCAAGTTAATACTGGGGAAGGCAACAACAAAAGATCAGCAATACCTCACTCAGCAAGGCTTGTGCTGAACGGTATTCTTGAACCAAGTGCTCCAACTGATTGTTGATGTACTTTTCCCTGCTATTGATCTTTTCCAGTGTTCTGCTGATTTCAGTATGGAGTTTGTCAAGGTAACCCTAGAAAATCACATTCCGTGAGTTGACAGTATACAGACAGTATGCAAAGAGTATCAAAATGATGCTGCAGTTAAGAAAGGCTATGGAAGCCTACAGAGAGAAAAATAATACAGAAATACTGTGTTTAGCCAAGATAAACTATTCCCAATGTGTTCTGGTTTCCCCACCTCCAAAACATGTATTTCAGCCTTTGCTGCTTCATCACTCTCCCCTCTTCAATTAATTACAAGTGTCAATGTCAGTAAGTTACTCTAGCAACAGTACTTGAGAGTATTTGGGGGATTTTAACAGCACCTTCAGATTCTATTATTCTATTTTGTCCTCTGTAGTCAGGATGCACTTATGGTAATGCATTCACTACTGGACCCTGATAGCCCTGTTAATCCTCACACATACAACTCCTTCCCAGAAGGTATTTTGTCACCAGCACTGTCCTTAATGATCATTGTCATATAATTCCCTTTTTAATTTTACAGGAATAGCACAAATAAAATGAAGGGAAAAAAAAAGATCAATTTAGTTCTAAATGCATATCAAATATAAAATAAAAATGCTGACAGATTAGTAAAATATTCTGTACATAGAAGACATACCCTAGTTTCTTTCAGAGAAGAATCAATTTCATCCTTATGCTGATGTATTTGATCTACATGAATCCTCCAATCCTAAAAAAGGCATCACAAATTAAAACACAGGTAAGTACAATTTCTGTCCTTCTCTGGTTACAAAACAACGGCACGTATGCAAAGCAGGGTCAGTTCTCTTTTATACTATTGCCATGTATCATCCTGACACTGCCATGTTCATAGCCAGGGGCACTGGCTCAATGTGACACAATTTATAAATCTCCTAAATGTCACATGTGACACTCAGATCCATAAACAAACACTCACATCCTCACTGACACCATAGTAGCTATGCTTTTTAGAGTCTGATCTTCATGGAGCTATTTCTGCTAGAAACCACTGTGGGCACAAATACTAAAAATATTGATTTTAGCTGCACTAGTTCAGCTTATTCTTAGACAAAATGACTGCTTTTGATGCCCAACACCTACCAAATCTGGACTATCTGTTCTTTCCTTTCTATTTCAGTCATTACTGTTACCAGGAAAAGAATGGAAAGAAGAGGCAGAAATACCAAAACTTAGTTTTGGTAACAGGATACAATTAGAAGGAGCAAAATTATTTTCAGCTTCAAGATCATAGGAGCATACATGGACTCCAGGGTGGGGGCTGAGAAAAGGTGCTGTGAATTGGCCCTGCACACCAGGTAATGAGTCACTAGAGAAAATGTGCTTACATTGTGTTTCACGTGTGCAGGAGACTCATGATCTCTTGTTGGTCTGGTGATAATTGCTCACAATTTGCCAAACTTTGGAGTTTAAATTAAAAAAACAGGTACACAACCCACCTCCACTTCTGTCCAGGACTTTATAAGAAGTTCTAGTTTCTAGTGCCATTGATTAAACCATTAATACTCTCCTGGTACTAGGTTTACATGCACAGCTTAGGAAACAGAATATGTTTTCTGGCACAATGGAAAAAGGCCAAACATTTTTCTCCAGTTATTTCTGAAAGAAGCTAGAAGAAAAAGAATCCTCTTTTTATGTTCATTTCGACGTACTCCTTCATGCAAAGAGATGGTGCATTAAGCGGGAAGCTAGTAAACCTCAGATCCGACAGTGCCTTTAATTTTTCATCTATGTCTTTATTAAGTTTTAATTCCTCACTGTGAGACTCAAGCATCATATTCTCTGCAACAGATGGGCTTGCTGAGGATCACAGTAGAGTGGTTCAAGCCAGGCAATCCTTCACACAGAAAAATACAGAATGGTGTAAGACAGGCAAGCAGCTCAGCAGACAGTTGAAGGTTTTGCCTATTTTTGGCAAGGTAATTATCTTTCATTGTATTCATGTATATGTATTGTATTGCTGTATGAATGCTGCAGATTGCTCCAACACTCCAACTACCTGGGCCACTGCAAATGAACAATTTCAATACTGCACTGACCTGTGTGTTCTACACAAGCTCTTGGAGACAATGCTTATGGCAATGCCAGGAGTAGGCCCTAGGTTTGGACCTGCCAAAGATGGATACCTACTTCTAAGCTGCTCATTCTAGACTCATTGAAATAGGCTATGGAGAGAAATACACAGTTCTATGTAGCAGGCCCAGGGCCTGCAAGGCCTCCTTGGCGGTCAGAAGCCTGAGCTAGGAAATGCCAAGTCACGATGACTGGGCCTTAGAAGCCCCTCTTGTCTGCCTTTGGACCCTGCTTGTCTCTCTGTAAGCCTATAGGTCACTTTCCCCTGACCCTTTCTTTTGGACAGTTTCCAAAACCCCTGTAGGGTATAAAAACCCCTAATTCTGCCTGGTTCGGCAGAAGAGCTGTCACTGAGACCCTTCGTGGAAGACCCCAATAAAGAATCCTGCGGAACCGTCAAACAGCGCTTCTCCTCTCTCTCCCTGCATCTGCTGCCAGGCACCTAGCAAGCAAAAAGAGCTAAAATCACAGAGCTGATAATCACTAAGAGCTGAAATCGCTTAGGCTTGCTTGGCTGCCTGCAGCTGGGAATGGCTTGGGATATCGGACCTGCTCTGAGGCTCCGCTGAGCTATCCTGGCCACGGCTCCCCACCGGGCACAGCCCGGCTGGAACCTGCAGTGACAGTTCTAAGACATGACAAATTTCACCCTGAGACAGTTACCAGGATATGGTGAGCAAAAGCAGTTGAAAAAATGATCACTTCTTTTCACTAAACATTAGGAGAGTTCAGGATGACTAGACCAGGGTAAAGACCTACTTGATTGTAATGTAAAGTTCACCAAGAGAAATTCCATACAATCAGCCTTTCATGTGGTTAAAAAATTGAAGAGTTGAAAGGTAAGATCATCAGCTGTCCTCCAATGAGAAGTTTTAATAGTTGTTAAACTGAGGATATAATTTTTAGAAGTGTGAACACATTGGAAGTGTCAGAGGACTGAAAAAAATCCCCACTGAATAAATATATAGAAATAAGGTGCCTTGTAAGCAGCAGAAAAAAATATGTAATATTGAAAAAACACCTTACTGAAAATTATTGCTTCTAGGGTCAAAGCAAGTGACAAAGGTTCAGACAAGGTAGCACTGGAGAGCCCACTACTCACAGGTCTTTGCATGACAGAAGACAACAACTGCAAACGGAAAGTAAACAGCATCGACTGAAATCACATTTTAATCACTGTATGTACACAAGCAAATCCATTCTTCCTTACCTTATTGTCAGTTCTGACTGTGACTTTCAACTGTGGAAGCACACGTTCCACTTCCAGATTCCACTCTGCTGCATCTGTTGTGGACTGTAAAATCTCTTCTTGCTTTGCAGTGTCATTCATGTTCTGTGTAAAAATCCCAAAGTTTATACATAAAATATTATTGTTATGCAATGAAATCACTATAATGGCTTGCAGTGTTAATATTTATATCCAGAATGATCTAGACTACAGATTAAACAGATTTCTTTAATGGCTTTCTTTGAGTTCATAAAGATTTGGAATTAAAGTATATCTTCTCATCATACTTAAAACTGAAAACAATTAAATTTATATATTAAGAAATTATAATACATCTCAGAAATGGTGTATGTATGTGGGATTAAATATATTCATGAAACTAATACCATGTTTCTCTAGAAGTCTCTGCAAAAACTTTCTTGCAAATGTTCCCAGCAGCCCTTCAGTGATATCAGTTTAGAAACTGGCTGCACATTGTTCTTTCAAAATAATATTAATATACAATATCTGATTCATTTCAGATGTTTGTTTTTTTTCAAGTAAAGACTATACAAGCATTTTAAGATTTAAATCCAACAGACACAAATTGCTGCTACAGATGTAAAAATCTCTCATGAGAGGACTAATGGGTAACAACTTACTGATCTGTACGTTTGTGCCTTTAAAACATTCAGGTCAATATAATTTTCTTCATTGTCTGACTCTTCTTCCTTAAGAGAAGTTTCAAAGCAAGATTTCAGTAATTATTGCACTATCTTTCTCCATAATTTTATTTTGCAGGAGAACAAACCAAGAAGTATTAAGGTCCACATTTCTGAACAAAACAAGACATAGAGAATTTATGATATGGACCTTATGAAGAGACATAGTACCTGGGACAAGCTGGTAGATCAAAGCTACCCCATATTTCCTTCAGAGCTCCATAGTATTACAGAAATAAACCAACTAACCAACAAAACCCAAACCCTAAACCTAAAGCCTCTGACATCAAATGGCCCATTATCAAAAGTTGTATGGTAATTGTATTTTTTATGTATTTCTTGAAGCTCTACCTTAAAAATAAAGCTCCATCAAAACAAAAGCCAAACCACAACCAGACCTCAACACAGTTTTCAAGATATTGTTTGCACAACGTATTTGAAGTTACAGAATGATGCCACATCTTAAGTGTGCAGAATAACACAACTGAAATTGAGGCAATTGCTTTTTTCTTTCCCATGAGACCACACACTCTGTTCACATACTCTGTAAATCTGTTATAGTCTCAAAATCCCCTTCTTCTGTGACTATGATCACCTGAGAGCTCATCACCCATAAGTTATGATGCTTTCTCTGTGCATTAACCTTCATTTATGTATACTGTATTTCATCTGCCATTTTATCACCCAGACACTTCACCCTTATACACCTTGTCCCCCTCTTGACTATCTTTTCCACCAAAGTGAAATTTCATCATATACCTCCTTTCCACACAAATCACAAAAGCTGCAATAACACAGGTCTTAGGGTAAAATCCTTCAAGACTCACTGAAAACCTTGGAGCTTATTTCTCTTTCCTCTACTTTACCCAGTTTTTAACTAACAGGGACCACTATTTTCTTCTGGTATGTCTGACCCCACGTCCCCTGAATACTTGCAAGAAATTAAGACTATATTAAGACTATCTTTTGCTAATGGACAATACATATTTGTGCAGCATTTGGAAGAACACACCACCAGAACAAGAAGACTGGTTATCAGAAGTGAGAAACCAAATTGTGCAGATGTCCTTGCACACCCAGCCTCACTGCCTACTGCTGGCCACCTAATACAGGTTATCCCTGCTAGGCTTGTCTCTGTCAGCCTCATCATTTTTATTCAGAAGACTCAAAACCAAAGAACAATCAGTGAACCTCATTAACACTTAATTGCTGAAAATACTGCTAAATTCAATTATGGATACAGATAATATCAATATACTGGCAGCAACAATGGACCAGGAAAAAAATTACATTGGCATGTAATTAATCCCTGTAGAACTACCAGGGGCTCTAAAAAGTGAGCATCCTTTTGGTATGAACTGCCTGGTAATGTAATACCTAGTAAAGGAATAACACCTCAGTGGTTTTATTAACACACATACATTCCAAAGAGCTAAAAGAACACATTAATTATGAAAATCATGGCCTAGGACAATACCTGAGAACAAACACAGAGGTTCTTTGAAGGATTTCAACTGTGCTTTAGTTAACTGTTTCATCCCCACTTCCCAATTTAAGCAGCTTATCTCTTCACAAGATAGAGAAAAGAGCAGACAGCTGACTGTTTTCCTATTTTAACCCTTTAGTTTAACATCGAGAGTAGATTTATCAGTAGAAAAGAAACAATTCTAAATCTCTGTGTTTTTAATGCATGGTTAGGTTCCACTGCACATAAGAACATACACTCTGTCTTGAAGAGTTAATCTTATCTGAAAAGCAACAAAAAACCCTAAAGAGAATCTGACAATGCAGGAATAGAGCTGCAGGAAAAAAACTTAAACAGCTAATTGAAAAGGCTTCTTAAACAAAGCCAAACAAAATGAACAGTGAATAAATATTTCCTCATAGTTGACCAATACTAATATACCAAATAAACCTACTGCAACATCCTCTTCCAATTTACTAAGTGTTAATTCTGCATCATCTTCTGTTATTTCTTCTTCTTCTGGCTCTTCTGTTGGGTATGCTGGCCTGAAATTAATTCAAAGAACAGCAGAGCTTTTAAACGCAATAAATTGTAAATACCTCTGCAAACAAAACATTTCATGAGAAAAATGGATGACATGGAACATACCTAGACAGTGATTAATTTTCACAACTGAAATAAATATATACTCTGCCTTGAAAGTCTTGTTCATCTTGGACTGTCTTAAAAGTAATGGCAGTACAGTACATTCACACTACAAAGTCATCTAGGAAGTAAATTTTGGGGTTTTTCTCTATTGGTCTAAGCTCTTAAAATTCAAGTGCAACTCACCACAGGCTTATTTGCAACCTACAGTGGAATTTGTGTACCAAAGAGAAGTAACAGTAAAATAATTCCAAGGTAGAAATTACTTTGCTGTATCCATTTCAAAACCCACTAGAGGAAAAGAATAAAATAAAGAACACTTTTAAAGACATTTTCATATATTTGAGATTATCTGTCATCTAATTTGTCCTAAGATTTCCTTCAGATTAAATAAAATTACTCTAGTCTACTTGTAACATGATCACACTGTGCACAACCCAAGAAATTTACTACTGATTGACAGAACCTAAAAGGACATTACATATTTCAACTTAAATATCAGGCTAACAAGGAGTTATGTGTAGGGAAGTAACAACAACAACAACAAAAAAGTCATCAGTTAAATCTTAATCAGCTAAGTCTATAATGGTCCAAACTCAGCCTTGCTGACAACAGGCCAGTTGTGTGAAATTGCATTAGGAATTAATTGGTCACCCTGCTTCAAGCCTAGTTGAATTTTCCATCTCATGAAATGTCAAGTAAAACGTTTTTAGTCATTCCTATGTTTTATCTTACCACTACAACTTACATCTGTTTGCTGGAAAACAATGCATAAGGGAGGATGCATAGAAGTGTACTGTACCTTTTCCAGCTAAACCCAGTGCGTTTCAAGGCTTCTTCAGCTAAACAATCAAGAACATAGCACACTTGCTCACCGCAGCCTGTCTTTAATTTTGAGGGAGGAAAATCCACAGGCCTTCCCTAAAATAAAGAGACAGGCTAGGGTTTACTAATGGCCTAACAACCCGAATTTCCTCAAAGGGAGGTAAGTTTTGTACACTAAAACCAAAGTGTCCCTTGAATATGAGATTTTATTAATGACAATTTACATTCTTCTCCTATGCAGCTCCAGTGAGGCAACAGAAGGAAAAGCAAACAAAGCCAAGGAACAGAGGCAGTGTAGAAGTCTTTAAGCATATGGTAAGAGCATACTCCCAGGTAGCAGAAGAGGCAGAAGCCACAAGGGATCTGGATGGTCAAGCACACAAGTGACAAGGCAAAGTAAGAACAGCTACAGAGAAACTCAAGTATTGAGACTTAACTACCAACTTTGCAACAGTGTCCTGTTTTCTCTAGATTTTACTTATAAAATATTTTAATTTATTGCTGTCATGCAGAATAAACATAGTGGTTTGATATAGTTTAACTCCTTCAGAGAACAGTGTCCTTAACATCATTCACAACTGCACCAGAGTATAATCTTCCATAAGATCATACTTCTTGTCAGTTGATATAGTCTCCTGACCTTTGGAGTTTGGCTTTTTATCTTACTTTTTTTTTTTTTTTTAATTAAAAAAAAATCTCAGTAGTTCCTGGCAGTTTGTACAACCTTTTACTCCTTAAAAGAAAAAGAAAAAAGAAGAAGAAAACATTTACACTATTCTAAACCACTTCCTACACTACAAATTAAGTCATTGACTTTGGCCGGAGCAGGATCACAGACTGTGTAAACCTTCCAGATGAAATCTCTGAAAATCATGCTACTATAAATGAGCAACATATGTGGCACTACAAAAGGTAAGCCTAGTTTAATCCATTTTACAGACTGCAGAACAAAACTAACTGGAATAGTTTATAAGACCATTTTTGTAGTGCTAAAAAAATAGCAAGTAGGTACAGCCTATGTAAACTTCCAATTAACTAAGTAACACAGTACAAACTTACAGCTAGGAAAAGTCTGTCCAGTCCTTGGGACCAGACCCAGCAGGAGAACAGTGTGTGACTGCTGTTTTTTCTGAAGGGAATGCAGGCGTTTGCAACACACTTGGGGAGAGAGCGCGTGTGACACTCACAAAGGAGCGCAGCTGTGAGAGCACGTTTGAAATCACTGCGTTGGGGTCATCGTACTCCTGCGGCTGCTCGAAGGGATGTCCCGCTTTGCTGATCAGCCAGGCGGCGAGCGTGCAGAACATGAAGAACTGCTCACCGGGGTTGGTGGGCAGCGCAAAGTAGTGCCTGTTTGGAAAGGGGGCAAATGTACACATTGTGAGTTAAAGGAGCTCTTACAACGTTACCGGTGAGCACAGGCTACAGAGCAGTTTCTTTACCCAGTTTTCTTAATGAGCAAGCCATCTGAACAAAAATCAGGACGCCTAGTTTCACACATAACCACAGCAGACTAAGTTTTCTACATCCAGCTTGCTTATTTCCAGCTTTGAGTAATTTATTAGTCAACACCAGACTTGGCTGCCAAGTTCCCCAAATCACCTGTCCTTCACACTTTCCTCAAGAAACGCAGGAGGATGGTATTCCTACGTCTGCAAATTCAGCTCAGATCAGGAGCATGTTTTGAACTGATCCTTCCACCTGTCCTTACCTACTGTGCTTTGGAGAGCAATGAAAACTGGATCTGACTTGGATCACACCAAATTCAAATATGTGGTCCTAACAAGAATTCAGTCCATAGAACCAGACCACCCCCTGAAGTATAAATTACATGCACACTGGATACTGGGAACTTCTGGAAATGCTTCCCTTTACCAACACAGCTACTCACTAAGATACACAAAGGTCTGCTGTCCTGCTCCAAACATTCCAGTGGTTCAGCAGCAGGCTAGAACTAATTTACAGCCACTGTGCTCATAGTTGAGCCTCCTTCCCAAAAAGGGGGTAACTTGGACCCCCTTACCAAACCGTTGCTTATAAGAAGCTTAATTCTGGGACACCCTGCAGTCACAGAGCCTGGCTGAAAGTGATGGATGGTTTGAAAGTTATTTGGGCATTTGGATATTGGGAGCACACTGGCCCTGTTTCCCAGGCTTCCTGTCTCCAGCATAATTTAAAAGGCATAAAAAAATTACATATGAAACAAGTATATATGGAATATGAAACCCCAGCCTTAACAAAAACGAGTCCAAGACGCTCTTTGTAAAGGGTAAAAAATATACACACACCATGAATAGCTACCCCGCATTCAAGACATTTAGAGTTATTTTGAACATCTTGGAATTTAGGCAGAGCTATTTTCTGCGGAAGAGGTAGAATTTAGGTAGAATTACTTTTTGCACAGGTACCCGGGCATGCAGATACCCAGTACTTGCCGGGGGCAGGGAAGGTCAAGGGACTATTTACTTATCCCATCTCTGCCTATCGCGGGGCCTCGCGTTCTGAAAGCTTCCAGCTTACACGGGAAGCTTCGCTACTGGCTGGTTCTCCCAGGCACCCGGCCGTGCAGGCCCTTCGCTAGGCTCCGTCGGCCCGGAGGGATTCCCTCCGGCCGCCCTCCGCCCGCGGCCACGCCAGCGCCCTCAGGCCGCGCAGGAGGCGCGGGTCAGAAGCACCTGGATAGAGGCCGCATGTTGTGGCGCCGCAGCGCCTCCTCTTCGTAGCTCAGCAGTTTCAGCTTGTCCAGCAGGTCCTCCATGAGCACGAACATATGAAAAGCCGCACCGGGGCCGCGCTCCGCCGGCACCTCCTCGCTGCGCTCCCGCTCCCCGCGCCGGGCCGGAGCGCCCTCTTCCGCCATCTTGACTCGTAACCACAGCGACAGGGGCGGGCCCGCCCCGCCGCTGAGGGCTCGGGGCGGTGCCGAAGAGGCCCCACAGCCAACCCGCGCGGAGCGGAGTTTTCACCTTTCAGCTCTTCAGGCACGTGAGGGGAGCTGGTCAACTTTCAAACTTTTCTCCCTTCCCGAAGACGAACGTCGGAGCGCCTCGCTCCGGGCAGGTGCGGAGCGGGCGGCGGCGGCGGGCTCACGGGCTGAGGTGCGGTGCTCTGCAGCCGCAGGTGCGGAAAAGTGAGTCCGGGCGGCCAAGAGCTGTAGCACTAGCCGCGGGTGCCGGCGGGACGGGCCCCGGGGCGGGGTGGGGAAGGCAGCGGGTGGGAAAGCTTCGCCTCCCGGGAATGTGCTTGGCACTGGTGAAGCACCTCGAGTGCTGTGTCCAGCTCTAGACACCTCACTACCAGACAGACTTTGAGGTGCTGGAGCGTGTCCAGAGAAGGGCGACGGAGCTGGTGAAGGGTGTGAAGTGCAGTTCTTATGAGGAGCCGCTCAGGTAAGACCTTGCCAGTCTTTACAACTTCCTGAAAGGAAGTTGTAGCCAGGTGGGGAGCGGTCTGTTCTCCCAGTTAACTAGTAACAGGACAAGAGGACGTACCCTCAAGCTGTGTCAGGGGGCGTTTAGACTGGATATTGGGAGGAATTTCCCCACTGAAGGGGTTTTCAAGCATTGCAGTGAGCTGCCCAGGTACGTCACTGTCCCTGAAAATGTTCAAGAAACGACTGGACGTGTCACTTAATGCCATGATCTAGTTGAGAAGTTTATCAGTCAGAGGTTGGACTCGATGGTCTCAGAGGTCTTTTCCTACTGAAATGACTCTGTGAATGCAAGACACACCTCGCCTGTCTACTCCTAACACCAGCCAAAGTTTTTGAGGGGACGCACCCCTTCTTGCCATTTCTTCCTTCATTTTGTTTGGGGTTTTTTGTAAGCCCTCTTCCCGAAAATACTTCAGTTGTTTTGTTCTGCTGGAAACCAGATGGCACAGACAAGTCTTGAATTGTCCAGACAGAATAAGTCACTGTTAAAATATTGTTAGAAAATAATTGCCTAACCCTGCAGGCAACCCTAGGGACCTAGCTGTTGTTTCAGGTGACCAGCTTTTTGAGAAGAGTGTCATGATTACTTTTACCTTACGTTCTTTTTCTCCTGAGCCCTCAGGGCTCTGACCTCTCTCCCGGTGCCAGGTTCCTGCGCTCTGCCCCTTTAGAGAATTGGCGCTGTCGCTGCCTCCCCGAGCGCATTAGGAGTGGCATCGTGACTGCTGTGAGCCTCCTACTGCTCGCTCATTTCCTCTCTTACAGCTTGCAGGAACTTTGGGTTTGCCAGGCAAAAGAAATGGTTAAGAGAAAAAGTTTTTTAAGCCCGGAGAAGGGAACATAAAAGGTGTGAGATCTTCGCGTGTGTCGAATAGTAGATCTCACTGTAAAATTAGCTGCTTCCCTTAAAGGGATGGCACAAACTTTTATGTTAGCTACTGGAGCTCTGAGTCATGCGAGTGGATCAGAGTGCAGCTGGAGAGAGGCAAAGACCAACAGCAAGAGAGATTATGGAAATTTTTTTCCATTCGGAGTATTTCTCAACAACTGAAGTATGGAGTTAACATTTAAGGTGTAAGGGTTTCATTGAGGGGAGGCAGAGAATGATTTCTCTGTTTTACTGTGGGAAATCCTCTGAAGATTCAGTGAGGAAATTCTAGAAAGCTGGTAGCGTTGTGGCAAGAGACTTTAGCAGTATGTGATTAACATGTCTTTTTGAGAATTTTACATGTTTGTTTTTCTTGTTTGCTTGTTGGTAAAAATTAAAATCTTCTGGTACTTCCCAGTCCTGGTAAGTGTGTCCATGTTTGAAATGTGTTGTTGTTAAGTTGCATTGAAAAGGAATAAATCAGAATCCTTTGTACTAAGAAATAAATAAAACTTATTTGAAAGGAGGATAGTTCAATATGTATATCTGCTCTCAAAGAGGTCACAAAGTAACTGAGCAGCCACCAATCCGGATGGCTGTTCGCTGCAGGAGTGCTCTGATCAGATTTCAGTTTGATTGCAGAGCTCAAAAATGAGGAAATATTTGGATACAGTTTGGTCACTGATTAACTTCTGTTAAAGAGAAAGCATGTGTTCTTTTCCTGTAGCGGCCAAAGCAAATGCAGCACTACTTTTCCTGTAGTGGCCAAAGCAAATCCCCCTACCATTATTTGAGCTGTTCAGTATGTCTTTGGAGATGCATTTTAGCACCTTGCCTTGCTTCTCAGAAACCCTGGCTGAGCTGCTTTCGAGTTGAGCCTGTGGTGATTCTGTATGAAATAATTCTCCTGAAAACTAGAGCATCAGTAACTAACATGACTACAGCAAACTTAATTCTACTTGTGCACATTATTTCATATTGATGTTTCACTACAAAGCCTTAGGGCATGACTTCTTGGTTGTGCCACTTAGGTCTGTGACAAACAGGTGTTGTTTGTTTGTTGAATGTTTGTTCAGTACTTTGCAGTGTGAATCTAATTATCAGCATACACACACGTTATTCCTGTAAGACCCCAGAACTTGCTGAAAAGACTGGCCAGAACCTACACTCCTCAGATTTTTCTACAGACCAGCATACATTTTTCTATAATGGGAAGGTCCAAAGCTACGGTTTGTGCTGAACATGAAAATTTTCAGTTAAGTAGTTGTAGCTGTTGTATTTTGGAGCAGGGTTATGGGGCACAGCTAGAAGGTGGGAGGCAGTGTGCACTGTCCATGCAGCCCCCAAAGGCGTCACAGAGGTACCACTGGAACCATGTTACTCTCAGAGCATCACTGCCAGTGAAAGGTGACATGTCATTAAACATGGCAGATCCCTCACTAAGAGAAATGCAGCATTGATTACAGTTTCTGAAATTCAAACATCAAGCACAGTATATTTTGTTGATCAAGTTGGAAGTGATAGGTAAATAAGCAAAAAATCCAGTAAAACATTATGTGCCCCCCTTGCCAGTGCAAGGGGTAAAGAAGGTAGATACTGGCAATTGTTGCTTACATGGAACAAAATTATAAATCAAATGTTTATTTTACCGTTAGTTCTAGTTCTGTGTCAGATTTAATGTTTTGATGCCTCTGTTCTTTTTTTGTTTTGTTCAGGTTTTTTCTCCTAAAAGAATAGTGAGAATACATAAAACAAGCATGCTGCCTTTTCAAAAGAAATAATACTGAAAAATCTTTGGAATTTAAGATTCACGTCCACCACAAATACAGTCTCAGACACCAGTCAAAATTATCCATAATACTAAAAGGTCTGGCTAGCAAGCCTGGCTAAACCAGTTCAAAATGGTACCTATAGCTGCCTTCTGGGGAGAAATAAAGGACTAGGAAAAAGCCATTAAAGTTTTTTCAAGTTACTTGATTCATGAGGTAATTTCTCCACTGGGGTATGCTGTATTTTAGGATAAGACTGCATTCTTCCTCCACTCAGGTAATAGTTACAGTAAGGTTATTCTTTTTCTGTTATGCATGAGAGGCTCCAGTTCATTGCTGTCTGACAAAACAAAAGATACGATGAGTCTCCTCCTCCTTCGCATTCAAACCCTAGATTTCCATGCACTGATTTTTGAAAGTATAAAAAGTGTTAAAAATTCTCTATATCCGCAGTATTTGCAAATGCAATTAAATTTCCCACCCCAGAAAGTCAAATGTTGCAGTAATCAGAAAAATATTTTAAAAAGTAAAGGAAATCAGGCTTGACAAGGGACATCTTACATACTTTTGTAAATTTTACTTGACCAGTTTTCCTTGGTGTCCTGCTCAGGAATGAGGAAGATTAATATTCCCTAGCCCTGCAACAACACTGATAGTAAACACTTTCTATTTATTAAAAATAAAGTATAAATCTGCAAGGGGCTGCAAGGCAATGAGTGGGCTCCACTATTATGTAATGAGTAGGATCATATAATGAATGACTTTAATGTCAAAAATCTGGACCAAGTCTGTTGCAAACAAAACACATGATACAAAGGCCTATAGTTCTTAGAAGGCGGCAGAAAGGAAATTATATATGGACATGTCTTTTATCTGCATTTAAACAGGTTTTCTGCCCTGCTTTTGTTTTGCCAGTTTGACCTGAATCTACGAACCAATGAAGAAATGAAAGGACAGAACATACCAGCTGGCATGATCTGTTTATTTCACATCAGTGCTACACTTTGGGGTAGGTTGTAGCTGAAAAATAATAAAGAAGACCATTATTTTTAATTTTTATTTCGAAGAGGTAGTGAATTCAAACACTGTTTATTAATGATAAAAATCAATTTTGGGTAATGTAAAACACCTCTGAAGCTAAAGACTGCTTGTCAGGTTGCTGCATGGATGGCTGTGGCCATTGAGCCCCCAGACTGTTACCTGCCAGTATTTCTGTCCCACTGGCTCAGCAGGGAGTGCTTTTCAGTTCAGACTGAAAATTATTTGCATCAAATTGGCTGACTTTGAATTGAGAAGACTAAGGAAAAGTCATTTGGATTGTTCTGCCAGATGAGCTAGAGACAGCATCAGAATGTCTGAGAAGGCAGCTGCCCCTGGGCACTCACTACCAGCCTAACAGGTTGTCTGACCTTGGCCAAGAAGTCAACGTGATGATGCTAAGTCAATGCAGTCAGTTTTTTTAAAGATTAATTTAAAATTGCTCTTGCATGCTAGCAAGGCCTAACTTAAATGTTGACAGAAATGAGATGCTACCACTTCTGTCAATTTGTGGAATGCACACCTCAGTTATGTCAAGGGGCTGAGACAGAGCTTCCTCATCCTGTCTGTGGTGGCAAAGCTGTTTCAAGAACTTCTGTCCTTCCCACCAGTTGCAGAGCCATGTCTTTTTTCCCTGTGATGGTACAACTGCTTGGCACTGTGTGGTGGTGGTTGGTAACATGGGGCATTGCAGCATGGCACTGTGAATGTTTGAACACGTAGGAGCTGCGGCTCAAAAGGCTTTTGAAGTCTTAGGTGGAAAATATGTGATTCAAGGTGTGGAAGCACATTTGAAGCTCAGGTGGTTAGGTGGCAGTGTGCTGATTTGAGTATGTACGTGCTTACTTGGAATTCCTATGTTAACTGATTAGAAGTTCAAAGAGCAGAGCTCTGTGTTACAATCCTGATTAAACTGAATGGACACCCTTGCTGTCCCAAGAGACTCATGTGACAGAAAAGTCATGAAACAGACGTTGGCACACCTGCAAGAGCATTTTTTTGTCAGGGATAAAGAGGTGAAGAAATATACTTGTAGACTGGATTAAACTTACTCATTTGTACTTATGGGCTTTAGGTTTTACGGAACAGGAAGAAGTAACAGGGCTGTTTTCTGAGGATTGCATCCTCCCTTGTCGTTTCCCACCTGGGCAAGATGAAGTAATTCACTGGAGCAAAGAGAACAGAAATGTGCACAGTTACTACCTGCAGGAGGATCATCTGGAAGAACAAGATCTACATTACAGACTCAGAACACATCTTTTCCATGAGAACATACCTAGTGGAAATGCCTCCCTGAAACTTAGTAACCTGACCATGACTGATGAGGGCTCTTATACCTGCTATGTGGGAACAGCACAATATCGAACAGAAGTGGAAGTGCAGCTACGTGTAAAAGGTCAGTAAGGCATCAAAAACCCTTGGATCACACCACCGCAAATGGAATGCCACCAATAGATTTCCTTGTGTTGTTTCTCCCATGGAACCAAAATCCTCCAACCCAGCAGAGCACCTTTTGGGCCTGATGGTGTTATGCAGCAGGTTTTTTTCTCTGGTGAAATATTGCAACAAGGATTTGAAAATTTTAGTGCAGCACTTGTTTTCATAACCTACTGCACCCTGATTTCTAAGGGCTAATTATGTGGTACACATAATATGGCTTCTCAGAACAGTACAAACCTTGGCCTTGTAAGTAGCTGTGCTTTCTTCTGAAATCAAACACAGATGAAGTTTTGTTCTTGGCTATATTCATTCTCCCCAATGGTATTTCAAAAGAGTAATCACTTCAAGTTAAAAACCATTTTGTAAGTGGTAGGATTTATTTTTTAAATTTTTTTTTTCATCTGCAGCTCCTTCTTCTTATGCACTGGAATACCAAAAGACAAACACAGAAAGGAGACTGAAGTGCTATGCTTTTCTCACTTATCCAGCACCAACTATATCTTGGGTACAGGGCAATATATCCATCCAAGAGGCAGATCGGGAGGAAACTAGGAATGGAGTTCTCTATTCTCTTAGAAGTGACAAGGACATCATAAATGTGACAGATACTTACTGCTGTCATATTCATTTGGATCATGAAGTGTGGACCGCTGAATGGAAGATGCAAGGTAGGAATGAAATCTCTTTCACCATTGTTACTGAATTTCACAGCTGGCTTCAGAGTCAAACTAAATACAGTCTTTCTGCAGTGGGGCAACATGGATGTGGGACAGTAGAAAAGGATATACCTTTCTCTTTGAAATGCATTTGTTACAATTGCAAGGCAGCATTACAAGTTGCTTCCAAGAAGTAGGAATAAGAGGGGCTAGCTCACCCTTCTGTAAGTTACCTTTATTCTTAACATCTTTTTTATATCCGTTTCACATTTTAAGAGTTGCCTAATAAACAAACTTTACCCTCTATCAATAAAAGAATTCTGCCCATTGGACAAAATACATGGAAACCTTAGAGAATATGTGGGTTCTGTGAGGGAGGTGAAAGTTTGCCTGCTGCTCTAGCTGCATATGATCTGTTTGATCCTTTCATTGTACTTCTCCTCACATGCATCCTTAAGTACCAGTCTGAGTGCTGGGGTGTGTGGGAATGGAGAGCAGCAAACAGTTTGCATTTTAGTGAACAGCAGCTAATTGTTTTCAGTTAAGGAAAAGCAGGACTATGAAATTTAAACTCTGCTTTGTCTTCCTCCTGAATTTCATTGGAAATTCATTTCGAGTAGATAAATTGTGGTTTTCAGCCTCTCCCTTAGGAAATACTTTTAATTGAAGGAAGACCAATGCAAGAGCAGTTCTCTTGTGCGATGTGCATGGATGCTTCCATCATCCTGATTACCCCCTAAAGTGTATCCAGACACTCTCAGTTCCTAACCTACTGCATAAGCTCCAGAATAACAGAGCAGTTTTTAATTTACATGGACTAGTTTACAATATGGAAGGTTTCAAGTATGCCATCATAGTAGCTACCAAGTGCACTGTGTCTCTTTTGTTATCTATGCCTGATCCACAAGAGAAAAAGGTAAATTCCATTACACATGTAGTTGCATTTCCCTGCATCCATCTAACCCCTCAGTAGAATATTTTGAAAACAAACTGCTCTCCTTTTTTTCTATAATAGCAGTGTGGGGTACAATTCTGGTTATTTTGTCTTCATGATTTTTCAGCCCTACACCTTTGTTCATTAAACCCCCCACCCCAGAAATCAAGTGTAGTTATACCATGTCAAAATAATCGATTATGTTCCTCTCTAGCTGACTGCCAGCCACCACTCCTGTCAAATCCCTGCTGTCAAATCCGTAGTTGTGCTATGATGTTAATTTCTCTTATATTAGTATTTTATATATTAATTGTTAATTCCACTTACCTGCCTTCTCCTTCCCTTTCCTGGTTTTTTAAAGCTATTTATTAATTGTTAAATGTTCAACATGGACAAGTAAAGTATTAAGTTCACCATAACTGAAAGTTATTTCTAACTACATACCATCTTTTTGTTCTTTTAGTTAAATTATGTTGTGTTTTATCTTTTTGCTTCAGATGTGCAGTTATCTGATCAGTTCCATTTTCACTCAGCTCCCAGCATGCAGAATTTCCTGCTGTTTTACACAGTAACCTAGACTAGACTGACTCACTTCTATTAATGAGCCCCTCAATTAGAGGAAAAATAGTCAAATCTTTAAAAAAAGGATATTCATAAATATTGCCAATACCAATTAGATCTTTTAGTGTAAGATACGCATGTTTTTAAAATCTTCAGATGCTTCCAGAAACATACTGTGATATTTGAATGCAATATCTAAGTAGTGAAATATGTTTTTGTATTTGTTCATGGTAGTATCAAACCTAAGAAAAAAAAATCAGAAAATGTCAAAATAACCTTTACAGTATTTTCCAAAAAAAGTGCAGAGAGCTCTTTATGTGTTTCAGACCACCTGCCTAAGGTGGAAGGAGAGAGCACCATAATTCCTTGTGGACACGGCCATGACCCTGCAAGCACTGATGGTTTCAGTGTTGTCTGGACATTACACAGAAATGCAGTGACCTCAGTCCTGGCCTCCTTCAATGGCACATCCCACTCTCACCAGCCTCGAGTCCAGGTTAACGAAAATGACTTTTCGCTGAGGTTGGATCATCTTACTGCAGGCGACAGTGGAGAATATCTGTGTAATATTTCAACACCTCTCTACACAAAACTTGCTGTGACAACTTTGCACGTCGGTAAGTTGCCACTCTTTGCATTTCAGAGGATGAGGACCAGTTAGGACAACGTACAGCCGAAGAGTCAGTCAGAAATCTCAAAAATAATCATTACATAAAAAGAATCAATAGTATGAGAATGAGTTAAAAACTGGTCATGGAAACAGCTCTAGAGTTCAGAATATACCCCTTGGGGGGCACATGGGCTCCACTGGAAGATGCTTTTCTCTGTGAATGTCTTCAGCCTTCATTACATGAATTGGGTGAGAATGCAGTGGGACAGCAGGGATGGCTGTTTGCCAGCTCTCAGTACGCTGATGCAACATGCACTTGCTTTTGTGTCATTTGGTGTGATTGGTACAGCTGGGTGGAAGAGAGACATATTTTATTTTTGTTGGCTCAGGGGAAAAAAAAAAAGTTACCAAACTTTTATTTAAAGACTAGAAGTTTATTTTTTCAGTCGGCAGCTTATTATGGCAATGGTTACAAAATCAGCCTTCAGTTGCCACCAACTGCTCTCATAGCTGAGGACACAGCAGGGCTCTCAGAATTCTGTCCTAAATGCTCTGCTGACAGCAAACATAGCTTTCAATGTAGCAGAGAAATGATGGGAAGCCCAAAGCTTGTGGTATAAGTTTGGCTGCAGAAGAAAGCTTGTTGAGAACACAGTTGTTATTTTCAAATCTTTAATTCTACGCAGCAAGCCTTTTTTAGACCTGGATATATATATATATGTTTAAATGCATGCCTGTGTTTTTATGAGCTATAGTAAATTCCCAGCTGTGAAATCTTACTTTCAGTTATTCCGTTGTCAGTAGCACATACAACAGTAGCACACACACATTTCACACAATTACATACAATCACAAAAAAATTGAGAACTAATAGAGGGCACCTCTTCTAAACAAAGAAGAGAACTTGAAGCAAGCCTGTAAGACATGAAAAATAGAGACAACGTAACAGAAAAGGGGGTAGAATAAGTAATAATAACTACAGATGAGGAGCTTTGTGGCTTTCAGTACAGCCTGAAAGCAGGTAAGTGGCTGGAGTCAGTAGGGAATGGGCTATCCACGCTGGATAGCAGCCATAGCGCAGCAGCTGCTGAGCCATCAGAAGGGTTTCCAAGGGCCACTGGAAGAAAGCTTTTGAGGGGAAAAAAGAGATTTACAGTCATCTCACTGGCTTAAGGAAGAGTTGCAGCTTAAAGCTGCTCTTCTAAAGGAATTTACAAGATGTAAACATAGGTCTGCATGTGGTTACAAAGTCAAGCTAAAGGCAATGACTAGATTAAATGCTCTGTTTTAGCAGTTCTTATTTTTAGCTGTTTTCCAGACATCCATAGGAAGCTTCCAGAGGAATGCAGAATTTTTCAAATTTTTTGGACAAGACACAGCAGGGGAAAGACAACCTGAGGTAGAAGAGTCATAGAGTTCTTGTGACAGTTTGGTGCTGTGCAGAGGTTTCTTCTAGGTGGGCTTTAATCTCCTGTGGAATCCATGGTTATCACTCATCTCAGGATTTCTTGTGTCCACCTGGATTGCGTGGTTGCACTATGAAGCTATGCAATGTTTCAGATTAAAGTTGCAAAGATTTTGCAGCAGGAGTCATGAAATTTATGATCCAGGCTGGATCACATTTACAGAACTGCTCTACTGTAAATCAGTAGTGCTGATGGCACTGAGCACCATACCTGGAGACAGTGCCCTGCACACTGGGCAGCTGATTGGTTTTAAATGGGACTTGTATTAAGAAATTGTCAAATCCTGTCCCGTGAGCATGGGAATTTGCTATCAACACAACTAAATATAATAATCTGCTTTCAGCTATTCATACATCAGTAAAGCATCACTTCAAAGTCTTACAGTATGAGTCAAGTAACTTGAACATTATTGTCCGTGTCTGTTTCCTTTTAATGTTTCTTTCTCCCTAAATCATACCTTTTAGATTATAAATAAGAAAAAAATCATAGCTTTGATATATTTATTGAACAATAAGCACTTCTTTTTTGTACTTGTATTTTTAAAGAAAATTCAGGTATCACTGGGAAAAGTGTGTGGGGAGTACTTGGTGCAGTGCCAATAGCAGTGGCAATAGCAGCGGTACTTTGCTATCTCAAGGTATGTACAATCATTAGAGTACTTATATTTTAAGTTGATACCAAGCCCCTCAAGATCTGAAGAAGGGTTTTAGCCAAACTTTGGAACTTTAAAAAAATTGGTAATCAGTAGCTGTAGCTAGACAGTTGTGATTAAACAACTGTGTTGTTAGCATTGTTTGCTAGGCTGATCTTCTGTTTTAAGAAAAAGGGAAGGCAATCCCAATGTGAACAGACTGTCTGGACAAGGGGCACTGCAGTAAAGTCAAAAGAACTGAGCAGTAAGTGGGGAAAGGTAATTCTGGCAGTGGGAGATTGAAACCCATTGACCACCTCCTCAAAGTGGACCCCCAACTCAATTTGAAGGGAAGTACCTAAATCCAGACCTTGAATGTTTGTCTGAAGATTTTATCACAGTCTGAATTTAGTAAGCATCAGGAGACATTTTATGGGTACCATGAGGTACAGCAAAAATACATGAGAAAGAAAACTCTGAAATATTATGCCTCAGTCTTTTTTCATTTTTCTCTCTACAAAGAGATTCACTTGCATGCTGCTTATTAAACAGTTGTAACATGCTTTAGATGTGATAATATACTTTGAGATGCAGTTGTCTAAACAATTTAAGCAAGATTAAGTTATCTTGGGACCTGTTGGGCTGTCAAACATATCATAATTAGAGAAAGTGGAACAGTTGACAGGTTAATTCAGCTCTGGTTACATTGATGGAGGACTAGATGGAAAAACCAGGAATGTTTCTGCACTGTTGTGTGGATGCTTATTTTACTCAGATAAAACTAAAATGGAAAATACTGACTTATCTTTATGTTGAGTGTGTCTTGTTCCCCCACTAGGGGATTGATTTTGCACATCAGTAGTTCTTATAAGTATTTTTATTTTGTCTAGAAAAAAAGGAAGAGAGGAGTCATATGAGCACCTTGACATATGGGAAGAAAATAGCTCTCTGCACACAGATACTACTGACACTGGTGATGAACAAAGAGGTCCTCCACCTTCCCCGTTGAGTTACAGTAAGAGCCGCATAGAAATGTGATTTTCTGAGCAACACTAATGGACAAATGGGGAGGAAGAAAAGTCAATGGACACTTGTATGTGAAAAGTCATGGAGCAGGGCATCTCACCCCCCACATGAGCTTATCTCTTGCTTTTTAACTGGTGAGTTAACTCAAACCATGCGGGCTACCTGGGCTGGTCCTGACCGGGTGTCCACAAATCCGAACGGGTTTCCCCGGACACTGTGTCCAGTGCCCAGAGCCAACCTTCCGCCTGTGCCCAGATGTCGTAATAAAGTGTCCTCACCAATGAGAGACGGGAGCACTCGCTGTATGACAGTTCACCAGAGTTTATTGCAGGAGAATCTGAGGGTACAGATGTCGTGGAGAGGGGCAGGAAGGATCAGGGGATGGAAGGAGGAGGAGGGAAAGAAGTAGGGCGACAACTGCTGGGGAGGGAATCAGGGACAGCGAACTAGGAGCTGATCACACAGCAGCTGACTGGCAAGCCGGAGAGCTGTGGCAAAAAGCCCTCCCAGTGGGGGTGGATACAACTGCCATATATAAACTGGGGAGGGATAGGAGGGGTCAGGGTACAATTCAGCCAATGGGAAGGTAGGACAGGGGAGAAGTTGGGATGGTGTGATGTAGAACAGACCAATAAGAAGCAGGAAGGAAGTGACAAGAACTGGGGAGAACCAGTAACAAAGCTGAGGATACAGAACTTTCTAGAAAGTGGGGATGACTGACACATGGTCATTTGCTTGTGGGAGTGAGGGATCATGGGAAAGTGAGCCACTCTCTCATCCTGAGTTACACGTAGGAATCTTCCCATGGCATCCCAGGAGTGCTGTCCCCAGCACTGACTCCCACAAACCAGACAGAGCTGTCTTGTAGTGAGTTATTTTGGCACCATGGGATTATCATCTGGAAAGACAAACTGGTATTCTGACTGACAGACACCTGCCTTTAAAACTATATAAGCTACACCAAACTTTGACAAATCAGAAATCTTCCGCGCATTTTCCTGGAAACGTGGAGTTTCTCCTCAGAGCAGGGACGCCTGTTTTGCGGTTACTCCTCTGGAGGTTGAGTATTTTTTTTTACTAGTTTTAATATAGGTACGTTGATATCATGCACTGTTTTGTGTAATCTACTGGTAGTTCTTTTGTTTTACACTGTGTCAGAATTAACTCAGGTTAAGACCTTTCATGTGTTACCTCCTGTCTGTTCAATAAATAACTCATTTTATAAATAGAGCTGATCTGCCATCCTTAGAACTTGCGGGTCAGAGCGATTTCTTAAATTTAAGCTGTTGCCAAAAATCTGAGGCTAAGGCAAGGCGTCTGTGAAGCTCCCATTTGTCCTGTGACAAGTCAATATGCAAAACTGGATTTCCTAAAGGGACAAAGAAGTTTCCAGAGAAGAAATCCCTACATTTTGAGGAGTTTTGGTTTGGGTTTTTTTTTTTTTTTTTTCCAGGGTGAGGGGAAGAGAGCTTACTGGTTTACATTTCATTTAGTATTTTATTTTAAAGACCATGTCTGCTGTTGACAGTGGCAAGTCTGAGCCCCACAGAGCCAGCGCTGGGCTGGCAGTGGTGGGGGAGCAGGGAAGTGTCCAAGTGGGAACAGCTGTGGGGAACAAAACAGTGGCAGACTGAGGTGTGAGAAGCTGAATGCTGCCAAACACAGCCTAGCACAGCAGTCTGGAAAATGGGCCGTATGACATGGATGGTCCAGCTTTTGGGGGTTTATCCATCATTGTTCTCCATTGTCTTGGGCTTAGGGATAGGAAATGTTAGCTGTGGGAGCCTCCCCCACCTGCTTTTGTCCTGGGGGCCACATGGTGTGTGGGAATGGCTGCCACCTTGTCTTAGTCTGGAAAAACACGTGGAGCCGGCAGCACTGGAATGGCTGCCATCTTGTCCTTGTCCCAGGGGACCACATGGACATGACCTATGTGGAGCGTCTGCCATCTTGCCTTTGTCCCAGTAGCCATATAGAACTAAGTTGAAGCGGTGGACACGTTTATGTGGGTAAAGCATCTCTTCTTGTATACTTTTGTTATTTACATTGTTGCTCTTTGCTTTCAGTAAATTATCTCAACCCACAGTCTCTGCTTTTGTCTCTCTCTTACCAGAAAGGGGTGGGGGGAAGGGGAGTGGCTTATTTGGAGTTTAATTTTCTGGCTGGTGTTAAACCACCAGGGACCAGCTCCCTGTTTAAAGGCAGGAAAGATTGAAGAGAATTCTTTATTTCTGAGCCAGAGGAAGGTGTCCCTTGACGCCATCTCCTGTGCTTGTCCTGCAGCTGGCAAAGAGAAGTCCCTTGACTGGTGGTAGTGGAAGCTTATAAATTGACTGTTCATATGGAAATCTTTACTTTCTCTTCTCCAAAACTCAGGGTCCTACAGGCAGGACAAATGGAAGTGGGGTTTTCCCAGCTTTAAGGGCTGTCCCTTCCACAGGTTTAATCTGTGCTGCTGTCCTGGTTCCAGCCAGTACAGGGTTATTTTTTTTTGCAATAGCCATGAGGGGATATGACCAGAACCCTAATGTTATTTGATGCCACCGACTTCATTGGGGTGGGGGTGGGGAGAGGGACTGTCTGTGTGGTAAAAGGGGTTCCTTCAGGGAGGGGTCCATGGTGAGCATTTCTGCATGTGCATCGCCCTCTCTTTTGTATACTTTTTTTTTGTTACTATCGTTGCTGTTACTATTAATTTTCTTATCTCATTGCTGTTTCCAGGAAATTGTTCTTAGCCCGTGATTTTTCACATTTTGTGCTTTCAACTCCCAACTGCATTCCAGCAGTGGGAAGGGGGGAGGGGGAGCAAGAGAGTGGCAGTGTGGTTTGAGAGTGAAGGGAGAAGTACTGTTCATAAACCAGGACAGCTGCTTTAACAGTCTGCATATGAAATACGTGAGGCTGTGCAGCATGACTGGATTTGCCCTTAGTTTTGATTCTGTCAGAGATCTGCCAATTAGGATTTGTTCCAACATAATGAAGCCGACTGTTGGCGAGATGTAATCTTCTATTGATCCCTAAGGCTTGGCAAAATAAAAACACAAATAAATGAATGAAATACGCTATACAGTGTATTTGGATTTTCACTTGATGTTTATTTCTGTAAGTGCTTATTTTTTTCTACATCTGCTTTCATTTGTGCCTGATTATGTCAAGTGTTTTCTCATATTTGTCAGCTTGGACTTTTTTATTCCTCTTCATGAACCTGAAAGGCAATTGAGATAGTATGCAACTGTTAAAAATAGAAGTGTCAAGAGGTTTTAATGTAAGTTCACAAGTAAGTGACAAAAGCTGCACTAACGCTTCTGTTCCCTGGTATTACCAGTTTGTATCTGAAATAGACTAGCAGCAGTCTAGCCAACATTTGCCATCTTATTCCAGCTAACAGTGCAGGTATCCTGTCCTTGTTCTAGATTATATAGATCCTTTTGATGGCAGAGGACTTCTACAACCCTTTCTTAATAGATGGTGGTGCTCTGAATGACACACACTCCCCAGAGTATCCAGAAAATGGGTACTGGTAGCAGTAGACGAGGTATTTCTAAAGCTACAGGATTAAAGTAGTCTCTACAGTGCCCTTCTCTCCCCAAAGGAGATGTTGTGATGTTTGGAACAGTAGTCTCCACCTGAATGTGTTTCCTGGCAGCTCCTGCAGTCGCTGCCACTAGACCCTTCTTGTGGAGCTGCCACTGTGTGCACCGAACTCATCTTTTGGCATTGCAACACTCTGCTCCATTGCCACAGCTGCACTTGGTGTTGGCAAACAGCATCTGACTAGCAAAAACAGGCATCCACTTTTCTGTGACTTCTGCATGTTTGAAGCAGAAAGAGGGTGCCAGTAAGGCACAGGAAATAAACAGCAACCTTAACAGTATTTAAAAAAATAAATTATTCTCATGGTGTACCTGTTTCAGTATTTGTGTGATGCCATGGCTTTATGAATCTTTAAATTAATTTCTATTGGTTTTGATTTTTTTTTTTTGTAGGGGTAGAATAATTTAGAAAAATCTGTAGAAATTTTTTATCCTTAAAAGCTGCAAATCTTTTGTGGTTCCGTTACAATACTGCTTCCATTGTACATAAATGTGTGATAAACCAGATATTCAGGTAGTTTTAATGTGTCTTTCCCGTGGATGGTGGAGCAGCAGTAATTTATATCAGTCAAGGTGATTTCATTAGGCCAATAACAAAGCAGAAATTAAGAGTGTAAAGGGGTTTTCTCCCTTTCTTAGCTTGGGCGCTGTCAACTCCATGAAACATATGTGATGTTAAGCATGGAAGTTTGTTAAGCTTGCAAATGAAGGAGATTTAGCAATGACCCAGCTCCTCTTTCTATCATTCCTAAAAGTAACAACCTCATTTTTTTTGCCCTGTTTGCCACAAGGCAACCATAGATAAGTTTGCTTTCAGTTCCAGACTAAGTTCTTAAGTGCCTTCTAGTTTCATCAACATTATTCTGCTACCATTCAGTTCAAGTGAAAAACACCACAAATACATTTCTAATCACTAATGACTTCCCAGCACCTAAGTGACTAATCACCAATATTTTCTTTTCATCCAGCTCTTCCAATCAATACAAGTTCATTGAAAGAGCAATGTTAAAATATCTGCTAATGTGGTAATACCCAGGCTCTACTATATACATAGAAATCTACATCATCAGGGAGAGAAAAAGGTGGAGTCTTTTAATATCTCTTGCAAAAAGAAACCCCAAAACCCAAACCAAACCCACCAAATCACCAGTTCTGCTGCTGAGAACAGAGGTTAAATGATAACAAAAATACAGAGAATATATTTTGTCTAAGGGTCAGATTGCTGTCCTACAGGGTTACTTTAATATTAAAATAAAGGACAGAATTAAACAAAACAAATGTAGAAACCCAAGAATTTATCCTAGTCTACACTACTTTCAAAGATGCAACAGATACAGAGTATCCATTATTGTGTGTTAAATGCTCACATCTACCCCATACAGTATGACCATACCTTTTTCATGCCAATGTCTCTTGACTTGCTCCTCAGCTTATTAACTTGAGATTCAGCTATTTCAGCCCTTTCTTCAGCATCATCCAGATCATGTTGCTGTTTTCTGTACTTTGAGAGGTACAGATTGGCTTGAGCTTCCTGTGGAGAAAATAGAGTGCAGCTGATTTCCTCCTGTCCACATGAAACAAAGCTTTTAATTTCAAGTGGGATGGAAAGTGCTCAGCATGAGTAGGTAACAGCTGTATGGGCACCACTTGCCTCCTGCAGAGCTAAGACTGTTGTTTTACAGAGTTATTATTTCTAGTGGCATTTTCCATGTTAAGTGAACTGAGAGGCTCTCAACGTGTCTTCTGAGGGGCTGAGGGGCTGTTCTTTCCTTTCCTCCCCTTCTCTTGCAAATTATACTGCAGTCTTAGGATAAAATGGAATACTGTTTCTTAAATATAATCAACACATATGCTATATATTTTACTTTATATATAATATAAATACAGTTTTATGTGCAGGGCTTATATAGACATGAAAAGAATTATTTGTGGACATAAAATGTGTATTTGTACTAGAAGCTTCTATGGATAAAACATATGGATATGTTTAGAACAATACATCTCTCAAAAGTAAAAAGGCCCAGATAGTTACTTACAGCTTCCTCTGCTTGGTGCTTGTAACTCTTCACTTTTAATTGTAGCTTGTCAATCAGATCCTGCATTCTGGCAAGATTCTTCTTATCTTCTTCTGACTGTATCAAAACACCATTAATTTGGTTGATAGAGTAAGAAGGCTTAAAGCATCTACCACAATACAATAATTATGGATGCCATACATATTGTAGAAATTTATAGCTCAAAGCACAAACTAGCCATGTCCTGTGTACACATGAAAAAAATTTCTACATCATCACTGAAGATGTGTGTGTGGAGGGTGAAAACTGAGACTACCCTTCCCATGTATAGATATGTAAACATAAATGTATGTAAAGAAATATGTGCACACTTTTAGAGGTGTGCAGATACACACAGGCAGAGTTCCTTGCTCGGGGGTGAGGAGCATGCTTATCATTACAAAGCGTGTCATTATATATTGAAGCAGATATGGGTGAGCCTAGAACTGTGTAATTTGCATAATTTGAAGTTTGATTTGCAGGCATTTCTGGTAAAAAAAGCCTAGTTTAAGCTGTAATGCTCCTTAAGCAGAGGAACCAGCTAATTCTGCCCACACACTGTATTCAAAGAAAACAACCTTCAGCTTCTGCATACAAAAGTCAAACAACAGGTAGGAGGCTAAATAATCTCCTAAAGCAGATGGATGGGTTTATCTTCTTAATGCTGTTCAAAGAAAAAGGATAAGTGCTCTGTGCTGCAGGCCTTTTTTGAAGGCCAAGCAGCATGAGCAGCTGTTAGCAAACCTGCAGGAGGCTCAAGACTGGACCCTGCTGCTCAATAATAGGTGACAGAGCCCTGGGACTCAGCAACTCTACGCTGAGCAG